TAGAGTTTCTTGTAACTTATATCTTGCATACTTGATACCTTCAGCTATGATTAAATACTTGCTTTTTGATCATCTATTTACAGGAAGAACATGATAAAATTAGGGCAAATAGAGGAACATCGGTGGCTCTTGAATGGGATGATTACAAGTCTATGCCGTTCACACAATGTGTATGTTTAATGATTTTTTTTTATTTAATTTATAATCAAATAATTAAATTAAATTTTAATTCATTTGCAGTCTTAATCAAACTTACAAAATATTAAAAAAAAAATGAATTGATTAAATAAAACTCGATGCATTTTGTTTTCAGGTTGTTAACGAGACCTTGAGGCTCTCTAACATAATTAGCGGCGTATTTCGTAGAGCAATTACCGATGTCAAGATTAAAGGTAATGTCTTTATTAGGTTTTTAGCATTTATAGACATTAAATTCAAATATTTTGGTTCATTAATTTATTATAATTTTCAATTCAAGCAGGTTATACAATTCCAAAGGGATCAAAGGTCTTTACTTCCCTTCGAGCAGTTCATCTTGGTCAAGAAAATTTCAAAGATGCTCGTGTTTTCGATCCTTGGAGATGGCAGGTCTTTTATTTATTTTTTTATTTTTTTCAAAACAGTTAAAAAAATCATTAATTTTAACAATAACCATAAACAATTATTTTGTTTTATAAAATATTGTAAACAGAATATATCCGATCCGATAAACTTCATGCCATTTGGAGGAGGGCCAAGGAAATGTCCGGGTCATGAGCTAGCAAGGGTGGCATTGTCTGTTTTCCTTCATCATCTCATCACACGTTTCAGGTTACAAATATCAACAAATATTATTTACACAACAAAACTTGATTCCACTTTTGTTTTTTTCATCAATGAATTAAGTTATTTTTCATTTTTATTTCAGTTGGAAACCTGCAGAAGAAGATAAATTGGTATTTTTTCCAACGACAAGGACACAAAAACGATATCCTATCATTGTGGAATGTCGTAATGTAGGAGGGTGATGTAAATATTAGAAGAAGATTAAAAAGAATCAGTGGTTTATATTCTTGGAAAATTTTGAATATGTTCAAAGATTAGGTGTGTCGGAAAAATTGTAAGATCATATCGTTAAAGGTTTTTATATGTCTGTCTAGTGGCATTTATGTATGTCTAGTGGCATTTATGTATATGATACTTAAGGAGGACACGACGTTTGCATTTGACCATATTTTCAAGCATCGTGTTTTTTTATTAAACGAAAGTTAAAGCAAAGAAAAGATGATCAAAAGTTGCAGTGATTTTTTAATTCAAATTGAGAATTAGTTTTTGTACTACATAATAGTCATTTATTTTATTATTTTATCCAAAGAAATATTGTAGATGAACGGTATAAATAGGAGACAAATGATCTTTTAGGGTTTAAAGAGGTTTTGGTCATACTAAAGTAAAGAGAGAAAATGAGAGCACAAACTCATATGTAGTTTACCAAAGGCTTTCTAGCCCAACGGTATCCGGTGTTGTCCTCCCTCATTGAGGTCTAAGGTTCAAGTCTCACTGCGGACATAGGTGAAATAATTTAAAAGTAATTTAATATATATTTGTATTTTCCGTTAAAAAAAGGTTGACACTAGTTTAACATCAATGAATAAGGATAATGTTACCTCCTATATAAAGATATGTATGAAGGGTAGAAGTAGTAGCTACATTTTCACTCTTGTGTGTTGTATGAAGGGTAGAGTAATTTAGTATATATTTGTGTGTTTGTCCTGCTGGTTCTACGGTCTTACTATTGTTCATTTATATTTTCAACCTATATTTCTAAGCACACATTTCCTGCTTTATTGTTAGTATCGTTCTTCAATATTTGTGTTATGTATAATTCTTATTTGTGCACTATTGAACATCTCTTTCCATTTCGTGCATACTTTTTTATCATATAGAAGAGAATAAAGAGATCCCACATTATATGCTCACATTTTTTTCTTTGTTACACATGAATTCATACACGAAGTAGACTTCCGACATTTTCAAATTAGCCTTACCTTAATTTTATATCATTTTTATAGGACTAAATAATCATTGGTGTCAGGATCGGTCCTGATGATTCAAATGCCCAGGACAAGCAAAAAAAAGCCCCTTAGGCCTTAACTTGTAACAAATTAAATTATATAATTTTTTTTTTAAAACGACGATAAACTTTATGGCAATAAATGTAGCAAAATTATAGTATTTTAATGAGTAACCCTCCTAGGTTCCTACCAAGAAAAGAAACATAATGTCGGTCAGCTTTTTGATAGGAATATTAGACGGAAAGAACAAGAAAAAAAAAAAAGACTCAAAACAAGAACAAGAAAAGATGATAGTTTTAGATAAAATAGTAAGCCTCCTACCTTGAATATGAATTAGAAACCAAAAATAATCAAGAAAATGACATAGAAAAAATTGGAAAGTTAATGGAAAGTTATCTTGTTGAAATAGCTTCTGATAGGAATTTATTACTATAAAAATTTATGAATTTCACTTAACAGAACAAGCTAATGTATCTGTATAAAGCCATTGATATCTACTTGAAGGTATGTAAGTGTATCTTCTTCTTAACATTTATATATCATTTATAGAGTTTATGTCATAACTCTTTAACACATAAGTCATTAACTATATATTAAATTATTAATATAATAATATGATATAGTGAATTAGATAATTAGTGATCAACTATAAAACATTAAAATTGATAATGATTCATTCAATTCAACATGACAACGTTCATTCAACATTCAAGATTTCAAGTATTCAAAGTAAAACTAAAAATGATAAAACTGAATGTGATAAAACTATTAAAACTAAGATTATTGACTTTCTATTTAGCCTATGTTTCTGTGTTGTTAAACTAAGTCTTAGTCCGGCTATTTCATTCGTTATCAAGATGTGAACAGAATTATGCCATACTTTTTATGCAAGTATAAAGTTCAAGAAACTGCAAAAACGATGGAATCCTTGATCGATTAAAACCGGTAATGATAAACTGTAAAATTAATTCATAACCTGATTAATATTAGATTAGTAGGAGTGGTTATCGGCCTGTCGCTGAGTTGTTGTCGTTGTCGCTGAGTTGCATTCAATGTGATGGACTGGTCTCTGCGAGGCCTTAGACGTTGTCGTCTCCTTCTCCTACGATAATCCTTTGTGTCTTCTCCCGTACTTGACAGATTGTGGACTGTTTTGCATTGACTTTGGGCCAAAACTAAATACAATATTGAAAAAAAAAAAAAAAGTTGACCCCCCAAAAAAAGATGGCCCTGAACATGTGCCAATCTTGCACACCCTTTTTACCGATCTTATTAGTGTTAGTGTTGAATAAATTAAAGGGTTAATGACTTAAAAAAGTGACATATTTTGTTTTGTGTTCACATTTAGTAAAGATTGTTTGTTTTGTAGATATTTGACAATTAAACTTGTTTTACGAATTTAAAAATGTAATATTATCGGTTGTTATATGTAATATTACCCTATTTTGAACATATAAAACAAATTCAATGGTAAATCATATAGAAAAACATTGTTGGCTGAATGTGAATACGAAACAATGTATGTTACCTTTTAAGTCTTATTTTTAGACTACTTTTTAAAAGTGTTTTTATGGTATAAACCCTAAGGAAAATAGAACGATATGTAACCACATATATTTAACAAACTTATATATATCCACTATTTATTGATATAAAAATTGATGTTATACATTTTGTTTTTAAAATCCTATTTTATCCTTATATATTTTATATCTTATTCTTGTATTAACTTAATTTAATAGAAATATTAACAAAACATACATATTATTTTAACATATTATATCACTTATAATGTCTTATCAATACTTTCAAAATGATAATAACAATGAACATTATTTATATGAATTTTGTTATGTATTTTGTTTTACTACATAGGAGAAACAACACATGTGTTTCTTTGATTTAATGCACAATAATTATTATTATTTAAATGATAATAACATCAAACGTTATTGATATGATTTTCTATTCTTTTAAATATATTTGTATAATATAAAATGGAAAATTGAGTAAACTAACCATTATAAATGGGGTTTAAAAAAATAAAAATATTTTTTCAGTTTTTGAAAAATAATCATTTTCTTCGGAATGCCTAATGTCAGAGTATTGATGTTTATCTTTTCAGTTTATTATTATTATTATTATTATTAAATAATTCTTTTTTGAGATTTTGAATGCTACATTTCGTAATGTTTAATGTCATCGTTTTTCAATAAAATATCTAATTTTATGCACTCATATTGTATATAGTCCATATTATTATGTATGTATATTTTTTGTTAATTAAAAAAAAATGATTTTTTTTCTTGAAATTCCGAAATTGTTCTTCGGAATTCGAGCTTGTTCGTAAAATTCCAGAGTTTTCTTCCCCGCAATCCGAAATTTTAGTCCGGAATATGAACGGTACTCTAGAATGTCATTCTAGAGTACTGTGCATATTCCAAAATTTTATTCCAGAATCAGGAATGTCATTCCGGAGTCAGTCAAAAAAATATTTTTTCTTGTTTCAGAATGTCTCACTCCAGACAAAGTGGTTATTTTTCTAAAAAAAATTAGATTATTTTTTTCAAATAAACATTATAAAGTGGTTAAATTTCCTATATAAAATTATATTATTGATTTAATGCTAGCGGACCATAACCTCTTTATCCTTGATAACTTTTATTTATTATATTATATATTAAAATTCTCCACCCTTAGCTACAGTAAACTGGCTAAGGGTTGGCAAAATTAGTCATTTGTTTATTTGTGCATGTTTAATTATATATAGATACTAATTCTAAAGTGCCACTTGAACTTAGCTGTGATTGACTGGAATTTTTTTTATTTCTTATATTTTGTGTAGTTTCTAATTTAATTTTATATAATACTTCATTGAGAGATGATAGCTCGATGCCTGCAACGTGTTGCTACGTGTATGTATGTGGTTTCTTATTTTTCCATGTATCATTGACAGTTCATTTCCTCACCGCCTCCCACTGCCTCCCATGCCCAATCACATAATTTCCTTCCACCGCTTTCAATTTCTTCCTGGGTTAGAATGGTATCGCCTTCTAACTGATCTTTATTAATCCTCTTTATCTCCACCGGTCGCCTCCTCCTCCCTCTCACTCCATCTCCTATATGCAACTTATGCCTGCCTCCCTTCGACGGCGGTGGTGATAGCCGCGTTCTCCAACCTCGATGACTTCCTCCAACTCGCACGTTTACTCAAAGAATTCTCACCGTTACTCAAAAAATTCATCAACGGCGTGGTCTGCTACAGGGGGCGTCCGCTCAATCATTGGTCTCCCATGAAGAGGAAGATTGTAGGACGTAGCTGCTTACGCCGACGGTAACAAAGGTATTGTATTCAAATGGTCCACAACTTAGATGCCGACAACTCCATCTCAGGTTTTTAGATTTTTCAACGATTAGGGTTTTGATTGACTCTCTCTATTTCTATTTGGGTTCGATTTTAAGAATCTAAAGCACGATTTCTAGGTTTTGATATTCAACTGACTCACCAATTTCTTGCTTTGTAGATTTGATGTTCGTGATTTTATCTCTTTTTGGGACTACACGATATATTGCTTACTCATACCGCACCCTTCTAATCGTCACCGTCTTCTCCGCCGTCTTCGGCAGTTTAGGTAACTCGACCAGGAAATAAATCTTCCCAGGTTCAAGATTTTCTTCTAAATCAACAGGAGTAGCTCTGATCCCATATCTCTTAACAGCATTCGATTCATATACAACATGACCGGAGTAATCCTTAATCACTTCAAAAAATTTAATGGGTGTTCGTAATTTGAAGATTTCGCCGTCGATCTTCATCACTTTGGCCTTCTTCTTCCCTCCTCCGACACATGGTAAACTGTTCCCTATAGTCGTTGCATATGATAGAGATGTAGGGGATTAGTTGGTTGGGGTTTTTTTTATGATCAATTATGGAGAAAATCCAAATTGGATTTTGAATTGAATGATTATATTGTTAATCAAAGTGGACTATGATGATTTGGTGATGGGAATATGAACACGATGGATTTTGTTTGGATGAGATTTGAGTTGGGAAGAAAGTGGGACATGCCAATTGCTTTCTGTCGACTCCTAGCATTTTATGATCATATCTACATTCTAAATTGGAATTTGGGCAGACTATTGGTTGTTCTTTGATGTGGTAAACTTATGTATTCACATTTGACGGAACTAGAAATGAGATAAATGCCCTTTGTGTAAAGAAATGCATATAAACACAAGAATTAACAATATGTTTATTGTATTTTCATTATTATAGCATTATACTTCTATTTATTGTTATTGACCATTGTATGGAAAATTTTACATGCTAATGCTTCTAACTTCGTTGTCTATAACTTGAACTCCTTTTCTAGACCAACAAGATTTCAACATTTGGATGTCAAAGCTCGAGAGGAAACAAGTAATAAGTAGTCAAAATCATCAATTTCCATCTATTACATCAAATTTTGCTTCTTGGTTAGTTCTCATTTGCTAAATAAATAAAGTTGTACTCTATTAAGCATTTATTATCCCAATTTTTTCTAACTCTTTAAATATCAAGATTCTTTTGTTTTCATGAGTTGAGGTGTATTGACGACATTAAGAGGGTTAAGATGGTGGATGGTGCTTGGTGGTGGCAGCTGCATATGCTTCAAATATTGAAAAAAATAGTTTTGAATCTTGGTTTGATCATTTGTAAGAGGCTTATCAGAAGATGAAGATGGTGATGATTACATTGCTTCATAGTCTTTACAAATATTTCCAAATTTAATGATGATTTTGTTCAGGTCCCAAATGGAAGTACAAATTGATCAATGGAAGATCGAGGAGGCATATAGTTTTAATTATGATTTTTAGGAATCAGTTCATCATCATCAAAATGGATTTTTTTGTATATGGGTTTAATATGGACCAGACTTCCTCCCTACAAATGTTTTTGGTTTTAAGTTTGATCGCTTTATGTCATGTTCTTTGATTATGTTCCATATTTTCTAATACGTTCACTTAGCTTGATTAATTTTTTCAATGTTCTTAAAAGTCATTAATTTTGTTTAGATTTTTTTCCAGGGTAATAGGCAATCCCATGCGTTTTTTAAAGGGTTTTGGGGCTTGGCATCAATGATTTTGACCAAGAAATAGTTAAGTTTGACAACTAAAAAATGACATTATGTTTTGATATTTACTATTTTAATTTTGATTTTTTGGTTGTAGATCTTCTCTCAAATGTTTAATCTGGACGAAAGTTACGGATCTCTACCCTCTCATCGAGTCTGTATACCCAGACACAAGTTTTTTGGTTAAATACCAAATTGGTTTCATAAAAGTTTTGTATTAAAGATTATTCATCTACAGCCCTTGATGAGAGCCAAAGAGTGCAGGTTATTAACTCAACTGACACTGGCCCAAGAGATGCATCTCCAGTTTGTAAATTTGTGAGTGTGAATAGAAGAATGTTTGTTAAAACATTTAGAATAAGTTATTTGAAAGTGTTGGAATTGCAATTAGTAACAAATAGAATAGACTGATGTAATTTTATAGGAAAATGCTCTCTCAAATGTATCTACAAAGTAAATGTGATGGACTCTTTGGCGTGTCCAATCCCGCGGAGCGGGGATTCTTCCCTAGTTTATATTATTATTATTATTTATCTATTTATTATTATTATTATTATTATTATTATTATTATAAAAATCATAACATATTTTAGAGTGGACTGGTGAATATAAAAATCATAACATATTTTATCTTATATTGTACATCTATTATGTTTTACATATTTATTTCTCATTATAAACAGATGTCTAAAAAGTATCGACGAATCACCTAATATGACTTAACCCATTTTAATTCATACTAAAAAACTATCTACTTAAATCCAAATGTGTTTAGACTTGTGACCTAGATCATTTGATCCACACTCATTTACGAGCTCACTTTTAATCAAAAATAATTTTTATATATAATTAACAATTAAACTTATTTTAGATGTCAAAAATGGTAACTATTATTATCCTCTTTTTTTTTTTTTAAATGTGAAAAAAAAATCAAAGGTTAAATATATATTAAAACTAGAGATGAACATCGGAATCAACCTGGGAACCAAACTTGGTCGAAAATAGAAACCGAACCGGACCGCCGATTCTACCGGTTCTAGTTATATCGGTATCAGTTCCTATTGGTTCTTGTCGTGTCTTTAATGTTGGAACCAATTCTCGAAAAATAGCAGCTTATGGTTTCAGTTTTTACCGGTTCCGGTTCCTACTGGTTCTCGGTTTCATAAATCCACAAGAATATCGTCTCGGTTCCGACCTGATCGATTCTATCATGTTCCGATTCTAGTACCGGTTCCGGCCTGTTCCCCGATCCAAATACTCATTCCTAATTAAAACCATTATTAAATAGAAATACGAAACAAAATATAATATCATTTTAAGTTGTTAATCTAAAATTAAAATGATTGATCATTACTTAATTTTGAAAATTTATTTACAAAATACATAAAACTTTTACTTCAATTTCATAATCTAAAAATTGAAAATACTTACTTTTGAAATTTTTATTTACAAATACATAAAACTTTTACTTCAATTTCATAATCTAAAAATTGAAAAACTTGGAATCGGAATTAGGAAAAAAGACACGGAGAAAAACCCTACAATTGTCCAAGGCAACCATTTGCAGGCAGTTTTTATAGGTGTTCTTGTTCTTGTTCCCGCTCCCCTTAATTCTTTTATGGCTTTGGTTCAATCAATGCCCACAAGGGTCAACTTCTTGATTTGCTTTCTTCCATTTAACCTTTGATCATATACCGTTTTGTCGTGAAATAAGAGGCGAAAGGAAGGGAGGACACCACCCACCACCGCCTCACGGTTGTTTTCCCGGAGGAAATTCACTGGCTGACAAACATGGCAGTGTCTCGATCTATTTGGCCTTCGAAATGGAAGCTTGCCTTTGCTGCCACCGCCTTGGGCTGCGGAGTTGGTGCCGCTACCATTGCTAATTCCGACGATCCTGCCACCTCCCTCAAGCTCTGCACGGCCATCCCTCTCCGTCTCTTTCGTCTCTCAGTCACCGCTGCTACAATTGCCTTCGGTATGTTTACTTAATTTATCTAATTCATTTGAAAACCTCGAGTTTTCAATTCTAAAGTACGAATAATTCTTTGGGTTTGTTAGTTGTTGACATGTTGTGATTATCATTCAATTTCTTATACCTTTGCTGATATTTGCTCTTGACATTTTTCATCAAACGCAATTCAAATTGTGTTCTTTTAGATTACGAGTATTCGTTAATGGGACTGCCAGAAGGTAGCGATGAAAGGGCAAGAGTAAAGCATGAACTTCACACCAGGAACGCACGTAGGCTTGAAGAGCTATGCTTCAAAAATGGTGGAATTTATATCAAGCTTGGTCAACATGTTGGTCAACTGGTATGACCTGCTGCTTTTCCATGAATACCCATGATCAATTTCAAGAAACTTAGTTTTTTATCTCAAGATTTAATACATGACAACTTAGATAAAGTAACTATCTTTCATTGACCTAATTACTATTTTGCCATTTAGGATTTCTTGGTACCCCTAGAGTACTCTGAAACAATGAGGGAGTCAATGTTGAATAAATGTCCAACTTCAACATATGATCAAGTGTGTCGAGTTGTCAAGAAAGAGCTTGGTGGGACACCTGAAGAGGTGCTTAATACTTAAAATTTATTATCCCTATATTTTGAGTAGTGAAATTGAGTCAAACCTTTTTGTTTCCCAGATTTTTGACGATTTTGACCCTGTACCAATTGCAAGTGCTTCCATTGCACAAGTCCATGTTGCTCGTACTCATGAGGGACAAAAAGTTGCTGTGAAGGTTTCAAACTCTTATCATCATATTCCAATTCTTTAGTTTTTTGTTCCATAAAATGAATGTTTCTTGAATTTTTTGTACAAAATTCAAGATTGACATTTGATGTTCTATCATTCTAGGTACAACATACACACATGACAGATACTGCAGCTGCTGATTTTGCCACAGTGGAATTGATTGTAAACACTGTGCATCGCTTCTTTCCTTCATTTGATTACAGGTTTACATCTTCATTCGATTACAGTCTTATACCTTTTTGCATGATATTGCACTAACCATATCTTTTGGCAGGAATTTATGAATAAGAAGTTTTAGGGTTTGACCATGTAGACTTGATGTTGATGTCAAGACTCTATTTATCCATGTGGCCTAAAATTTGCTTGGTTATGATGTAGGTGGTTGGTAGATGAAGTCCGTGAAACTTCACCCAAGGTTAGATTTGGAATTTCAACATCTAACACCTCTAATTTGCAACATCTTACCTTTAGCTCCCTCTTTACTTTCTAACTTTATTATTAATAAGTTGTAATGATGATTATCAGGAGCTAGATTTCTTAAATGAGGCCAAGAACAATGTAAAATGTATGGAAAACTTTCGAAGGTTATCTCCTCACATTGCAGGCTATGTGTATGCTCCTACAATCTATTGGAGTCTAAGTACCTCAAAATTGTTGACCATGGAGTTCATAGAAGGTCCACAAGTCAATGATTTAAAAAGCATCAAAAAACTTGGAATTAGACCCCATGACATATCGAAACTAGTAAGTCCGCTTCTTTTTATTATTTTTTTGCTTTCATGTTGCATAGTTGTTGAATGTTTATAAGAGTTTGGTTTGACTTAAATGTAGGTTAGTCAAACTTTTGCTGAAATGATGTTCAAACATGGATTTGTACATTGTGATCCACATGCTGCAAATTTGATAGTTCGTGCTTTGCCTTCGGGAAGAAGTAGCATTTTTG